TCCTACGCAATAAATGTGAATTATCATTTTAAAGAGATCGAATTATATTTTTTTTACGATTCAATGTACTCGACAAAATCTGTCTTCGTTCAAAAGCGCAGAGGATGAAATTAACATTAAAGAATTTACGACGAAAGAAATAATTAAATATGTTCCGTAATATAGCAATTCTTTCAAGTTCGGGTTATAATAGAATCAATGAAAGCATAGAATTTGTAGATCTCACGTCAAACGTTGAAATGTCTTCCCGAATTAAGAACAGGTTACTTAATAAATTAAATTATTGCACTCCAAAGGACACCTGAATTAGTAAAAATTTGAAAGATACAAGCAACAAGAACCTTGCTTAAACATTAACAATTCAATGTAAAGAATACAAATATTACAATTTCGTTCTGATAAGTACAACATTAAAAAATAAAATTCCGGATAATGAACGAAATTTGATTAGTAAATTTTTATTTACTAATTACGTTTTTAAAAGAAGAAGGCAGTTTCTCAATAGCTAAAAATAAATTATATCATTTACGTGTAATAATAGTATACCTTAATAACTCACGTAAGTTAATTTTAATTTAAAATTAAGGTATAATGTCTAAAGTTCTTTTACTTTTCTATTTTCTCTTTTTATCTCATCTCCCTCAATTTATTTCTGTTAATGCATAAGAGCAAGGGATGTCTTCCTGGATCATAGTTTTATAGTTTCGATTGGTTATGTGTAATCGTACTGGCAAACAGCAAATTACTGACCGAAAATATCAGGAATTAGAAAATAAAACTAACAGAAAATTGAGTAGAGAAAAAATAAAAACTAATCAATCAACCTTGCCATCCTCAGTTTAGCCATCAAGTAACCTTCTAGCATTACGTATATCGAATAGTATAATCGATATAATACGTATATCAAAAATTGCAAACTTTAAGAAAACTAGTAAAACATTTATTCTGCTAGTGTAAAGAAAAACTGAACCTTGAAGATATTTTTGAATTGGTCTATGCCCTATCATTTTATCTTTTATAAGAACATATACACGAATGCATAAAACTGCATAAAGAGCTTCGTACGTGAACGTTAATCTGAATGTTCATAGATTAAATATAAATCTTTATGTGATTTCTGATTCTGATACTAAATTAATGTTATATAAATAATATTATATATTTTGACCCATTATTACAATTAATAATGTAACTCATTGTTCCCAAATAAAAAAGACAAGCTACAGCTAATTTTTGAAAATAAATCCAGTTTAAAAATTTCTATTATCATACAAGTCGATTCTTTCATTGATTCTAATATAGAATTTTTCTGATTTTCAAGAAAGACTTTCAAGTACGCAATGCATACTATTTCAGCAAAATTTCCATCGAATCAATTCCATTTCGCGACACTCCGTTATTAACGGTTGTTATTAGAAATGAAACTTACATTACTTATGCGTTATTAGAATAATGCATGTGCACGGGTCTCATGAACCACCGCAAGACATTGGAAGTGTTCTCTCATGTCGGAATTGGATTCATCTCGCCTTGATTTGCTTGCTTTGTCCGAAGAACACATCGCATACGTTACTATTTTCGCTAAATGGTCAAGTACCCCAGGCATTTGATTTCTACCTTGAAACTGTTCGAAGGTCCCCTCCAAGGAGGGCGCCATGATACATAGCATATACGTATTTGTATCTCCAATGTGAAAAATATTCATTTAAGTGTTATAAATACTATCTCACAAAAAATATGATTCTCTCTATAAAATTGTCAAATTCTATTATCTCCCTAAAAACGTATTGCGCTCGCGATAAAACAACCCGTATTGACGAAACAGTGATCGTGTCGTTTGCTCTTCGGTAGACGATTTTTGGACCCTTGTTAAGAGTCCCTTATAACAAGAACGCTGTCAACTGTGACAAATTTCCGATCACGTTTCCAGTGCTACAAAGCGTGTCCTACATATTTTTATGCTATTTTCATTGCATTGATTCGGAGATATGAGTTTCGAGATGTTTCCCCATCTGAATTGATTAAATAATTTATTAAAACTTTCTTATATCGCAAGTTAGAAACGTAGAAAATGAGTAAAGAAGCAATGTCTATCTCATAAGGTTACGAGTTTAAAACAATCCTCTTGTTATCCTTCCTTGCCTTTTTTTTTGTAATACTTTAACGAATTTGAAAATTCAACATTCACTGTAACTATATCTTCTAAAAATCTGGAGCTTTTTACGTTCTCTTTAAGCATAGAACTTTATATGAGTTTTAATGTATACTTTGAAAAAAGACTGTGTAGAGGGCATAAACATATAAGAAATTGTATAATTCTGCCATAATCTGTTATTATAACAAAAGTAAACCTAAGTCTATAAAACGTTTCTGTACTTATGTATATATGTATATAAAGCTTTAAAATTCACCCAAAAAATTAATATAGACTTCTCCAAATAAAAATAAGTTAATAACGTGCAATTACGCTTGAAGGGAGACCTACGTCCAGTTTCAATTTAAACTGCAAACTTTGTGCATTCCATTGGTTCCTGTTCAAAGCGTTTTATAAAAAGTCGAGTCATCCAGGATTCTTAACAAGTTTTTTACCACGATAATCGTAAACGCGTCGACAGAACAGAACCATATCCGAGGACACTGGTATCGGAGGCTGCCGATTCTCTCGTGGATATAGTTGATCTCCCGGTGGAACTATTAAACCGGGACTCTCTAATCCCTCCTCGATTCTTCGTAAATTTTTACGGTACCTATAAATTATGTCAAGAATGCTTGTTGTCATAATTTGTATAACTATTGAAATACTAATTGAGAAGTCTATCATTGTCAATTGCTTTTAATAGCATTAACGTTTATAAGTATTAACAGTGGTAGAATATTTTCTCTTTTTTTATAGATTTCACATGATATATATTAACCCTAGAAAATCTAGAGGAAAGAATTTTACGAACCCACCAGTTGCAAAACATGAAAGATGTATTATTTTCTTTATATGAAATGATTAAAAAATAATAACGACAAATATCATTTTTCAGAAATACAATTTCTGGGGTTAACACTTAGTTATTCGTGCGCGCCGTGCTTAACTATTCCTATGGTATTCATCGTGCATTTTTCGCAAGAAACGCGTAGTAATCTTGAATTGCTAACAATTCTAGTTCAAAACCAGATTAAATAACAGAAGTAAATAATTTAAAAAGTAACACGTTGCTAAAGGAAGTGAAAGATCTCCCTAATTGGTCATGCAACGATCTGTTCGAAAACAGGGAGATTTTTCCATTTACTTAGTAATATGTTAATAAGATTATTTTTACAAAATACTAACTCACCGACAATATTCATTGAATGTCAAAATATAACATTTATCTTCTATACACGCAACACTGTTTGCATCCCGATGTCGAGAAGCGAATACCTCGTCCTCGGTGTCGTATTGAGTTCTACCTTGCTCGGTATGCTCTGGTCTATAGTACCACAACAACGAAAACATCATTTCACCTACAACAAAATGCTTATTTTTATCTTCTTAGTATTCTTGTAAAAGTGTAACCCAATGCCGTCCAGTGTGAGTCCTCCCAATTGGGTATTACAATCATGCGTTCACCTTACAAGAGGAAAAACCCAAGATGTAAATCTCTAAATTTTTATCAAATTTAGCAAAAAAGTAAAACATTTTGCCAAATTGCAAAACATTTATCTTCTACCACTATATCAAAATCGATAAAAATTAAGACTATTATTATTATCATTATTTATGCCATGGTAGGAGTCTGAACCCCATGTGAATACATGACCAAAAGAAATATTCTTAAATGAGTAACAAACAGAAATTTTTATCCTTCATTTGTCATTGAGAGACTTCTAGTTTGTTAAAAATTTTGTTTATTTTCTCGATTCATGGATAGCACTGTCATAAAGCGTTACATATGAAAATATACCATCGTCCGGGTTTTCCCATAACGCGGCAATTTTTGCTACAAATGGCAAATCAGCTTTCCGTGGACCACTCTTTAATAAAACACAATCACGAGGTCTTAAAACGTCACCACTCTCGTGTTTCATACTCGCGTAACATCGACGTATAGCAGATTCTTCGTTCTAGAAATAATAAAAAATTAATTAATTGAACCAGTCACTATTATTTGTACTCTAAACTTATCAAATTCAAGAGGCTGCTCAGAATCACTTTTTTATAATATTACTTTCAATTTAATGTAATTTTGCTTTTTGTAACTAAAAGATACGTAAATGTTTATAACTTCTCTGTAATCTTGAACAGCTATTTGACTTTAATTCAATATAAGAAACATGTTTATACCGTTAAATAAACTTTGGCTTCAAACGGATCGCCCTCCCAACTCCAACCATTACTCCACTTGGGTTTTAAAAATGTTTTTCTAGTTAGCAATAAATTTTCATTTCCTATTACATATTCTTCAACTTTGGTGGTTGATTTTTTTATAGTTACTTTTTTCGTACTTTTTCGCTTCTTTTTAATCAAAGCTGGTTTTTTAATAGTCTCATTAATATTCTTTATTTTAGATTTTGTTGTACTCTCATGCTTTTTACCATTATCCTTTGTTTTCACTTCGTGAACTTTGGATTTACTCTTCGCTTTACATTTATTTTTATCGTGTGATTTTGACTTTGTTCGTGTGTCAGTTTTACTTTTAGAATGACCGCTTTTTGAAATTACTTTTGATAATTTCTCCGATGCTAAATTTTTAACTAAATCAACTTTTTTAACTACCTTTTTCACTGCAGATAACAGATTCACTTCTTTCTTTGTTTTATCAGGCTTTTCTGTAATTTTATTCTTGCGATCTCTTTTTTGTGTCATCTGCAAGCTTTGTTGTATAACATTATTAATGGTTTCCATGATAGAGTTATCACTGATACCATGTTTAAAACAATTTGAGATATTGTTACTTGTACTTTGCTTAGAAGTCTTTGACTTTTTCATTGCATTTTCACCAGAAGTTGAATGATCTATTTTTCGCTTTTGATTCTGATTATCTTTTTTAGGCTGTTTTTTCTTTGATATACATGCATCGTTCACATCAGCCTTTTTAATCAGAGATAGAATTGGTATAGAAATTTTAGATGAAAAATCACTACTATTCAAATCCTGGGAAGAACCAACAGAAAGAGTCCTTTTATTCATTTTCCTCTTTTTTCTACTATCGGATAAGCTATCTAAAGATAATTTTCTCTTTGTTACTTTTTGACACTTCGGTTGTTCCTCTTCCACTTCTGTTTTTTCTATGCCTTCTTTTTCTATAGATTCTTCGATAGTTTCTTGTACTGTTGGTTCGTAATCAGGTTTTTTCCAATTTTCACTCTCAATCACAACAACATCGTTTAACTCCTCTTTAACGTCAGTATCTGTATCCAATTTATCATCTAATAATATACCGGAATCCTTGTCAATTTCTAGAATAGCCATTTGACCTTCCTTCATACATTGTTCGCATTTCATTATATCACACTTGTAATCTGATTCACACTTAACATTACAATTTGCGACACAGGTTAAGTTATCGCCCATTTCTACGCTACAAGATTCGCACTTCACATTGTTATTTTCTAATTTAAATGTGTGAAACTTGTTACTTGGACAAGTTGTCACTGTTAGTTTCTCAGTAGGAGAGAGGGTTTCCATTTTAACTTCGCAGGTTGATGTACAGGCACGTTTCTGACATCCACACTTTTGCAACTTGTCCTCCATAGAATTCTCTTCACCCTAAAAGAAACAGTAGACGTTTAACTTAATTGATAAATCATCTTCCAGGCTATAAGACCTAAGGTTACAATTAAAATGTATAATAAAAACTATTTTTCAAAGAGATTAGCTCTGTGAAATGCGTGCACCAAGTAATCTAATTCGTTTTCCTTAAATGAAACTGCCAAAGTCGTATGTCTATCATAAAATAAATAGATTAATGTCATACCTTATCTTTACAGTCCGAGTCCTGAGGGCGATTATGTCCACCGACTAGATTATGAGACGGAGGGACCGACGGTTGGTTCTGATTCAGGTTGCGATGAGTGTTAAGTTGGACGCGATCCGTATCCCAGGCATTGGCACCATGAGGAGGCGCTAGCCCGGCTAGCCCCCTCGCCGGCGAGGGCGGACCTACCAAAGCACTGGGCGGCAATGACAGACCGGTCCCCGATACCACTGGCGCTCCCTTACCATTACCAATAAGGGGCCCAGTATCCACGTTTTTTGGACAAGATTGCATCGGGCATGGGCAACCCTGAAAGGCTGCATCTAAAATAAATTATTAAATGTTTCTCTCATTTATTTTTATTATTCGTGCAATTAAACTACTCATACAATGATTGTAATATATGTAGGGACAGAAAACTGCAACAAAAGCAACGATCACCCGCCATCAAAAGGGATGTCGATTAGTTGCAAGGAAGTACCTACATTGTATTACTTAATTTCATAAGGTATAAATGGACGATTATGTGGGCATGTGGTTGGTGTCGTCTCGCGATAGAGTGGCTCCGGTATGTTTAGGAAAAGTATGACTGCAAACAGGATGATTTCGAATAGCTGGAGGGATGTGAAGCAAGAATGCTTGGAACCGAACAACTGAGCGGTGAGAATGAAACAATTAGTAAAGCGTATACGTGACTGCGAGAATTTCAGCTATGGATGCAAGGGACAGAATACAAGTGAGGAGGAATGCGCGTGGAAAGGAGGGAAAGAGAATGAGGATGAATGATAAGAGTGCGTGCAAGTTTGACGGCAAAGTAGTAATAGACAGTCTGGAGAACAGTCTATGAGAGTCGAGAAAGCGAACGAGTATTAAGAGTGAATCATCTGCGAACGTCAGCGGGTGTACACATATTTTTTGTTCTTTTAATATTTTAAAACTTTTTGTTAAACATTAAAAGTACTGCTACATTGTCCCAACCCTACATATATCTTTAATTATACAACAACAGGTATCTAAAATTATTTAAACTTAATTTAATTTAATTTAATTATATTGAAAGTTTTCATTTACAGAAAGAACATCTTAAAATTACGAATTGTAGAACCATGAGAATGAATTTAAAAAATTAGTTCTAAAAAGTAGAATTTGCAATGTAGTACTATTGAATAAAAACATTTAAACGGAAAGAAAACTAAGAAATGCTAAATGAAATATGGAGTTCAATTAAATTAGTCACGTAGATTAGTTACAATCGAATTGCCATCTTAATTTACACTAATACTGCTAAAAGTATTCTGTGAAAAAGCGATGAACTACACTAAGAAAATGTAAAGTAAATAATTACAATACTTACGATCTACAAAAGGTCTTCCTTGCGAATGCAAGTACGCTGGATTAGGTGGAGGTGGAGGCGGTGGAGGAGGTGGCGGATATCCTCCATAATACGGGGGCAGAGGATATTCACCAGGTGGCGGTGGAGGTGGTTGGTAGTCAACAACTGCTGGCCCACCTGCGGTAGCACCACTTCCGGGGCCACCACCTCCGCTGGATTCCTGATATCCATAATACTGCCTGAAAATATACCTGTTTTAAGGCAAGTCAAAAAAAAAATGAACTTTTATTACTATTGTTTCTCCAAATTGTAAATAGAGAAATAATATATTTGTTATACCTTCTGTAAGTTGGTGCATATTTGTAGTAAGGCGGTGGATGAGCATGTGGATGAGTGTAGGCTGAAGGATAACACAAATCTGCATACTGCGGTGGTGTACCATAGTATTGAGGACAATATGCCCTATAAAATCCACCTCCTGAAATGAATCATTAAACATTTAATCTTACCTAGTATATTACAACATCTTTCATTTCTATCAGAACTATAAATCAATATTTAAACAGAACATTGTATACTTTCTTTTGAACTTTCAAAATTATACATTTCCATTTTTCACAAACATATGACAAAAAAGACGAACCTACTTTATAAATTGACATTGTTTAAATGATCGTATTAGTTAAAATATTAAATTTCAACAGATTTAATTGAACAATTTATACCAGAGAAAAATAGTTATTTTACATAATCATAGTACATTAAAAGAACCTATCTTCCTTAATTATTTCAAAATGTTGATATCATATTATATATTTATCAGTTTGAAAAAGATAATTCAGAAAACTTTTTTTCGCGTAAAGATATTAATTATAATTATTTTATTTAAATGCTTATATATTTAATAATAATATATATATGTGTATAATTAAGAAAATAACTTGGAAAATTTGATTTAACATAAGTAACTTGAAAATTAATCAAGATATACATTATATTTTAATCATATACCTGTGCTACTTGTCCCTCCAGAAGTTGTTGAAGTTGCTACTAAATCATCTGATCCTTCAGAATTTTGAGGAGGTGTAGGAGTTGGTTCTGGAGGTGGTCCTTTTATTGGTGGTAATGTTGGTGGATGCTGTATCAGTGGTCCAGCTGGCTGATAATACCCTGATAACAAAACATAAAAAATTGTGCAAAAATTATTGACATAGTAATACTACAAAAATATTTTAAACATTTATTATAAAAATATTAATCGTCAGAAATTAATCGGCTATATGATACTTCAGAATTTTTAGTAAATTTATTCAATATAATAAAGTGTTTGAAGTATTTAGTAATTATTACTTGTTTATTAAATTTCCTCGCATATCGTTTGTTATATTTAGTATATGTTCTCTTCAAATTATACATTATAGTTAACTTACCATGTTGGTGTGGAGCTGAGAATGCTGAATGTCTCCTAGGTGACATGTTTGGATGATTGCCTTGACTACCTGGTGGTTGCATTGATGATAATGCTCCTAATGGAGTATATGATTTGCAAGGTTGCTCCAACTTTTGCTATTATAAAAAAGAAATATTGGACGACATGATAATAACAAGTACAGTTTCTAATTAATTTATAATACATTTCTGGAATCAGAATTTTCACTGATCAGATATGAAAAACTGACCTGATCATGTAGTTCAGTAGCAACTGCAGTAGCTGCAGTTTGAGTGTGACTGGTTGAACTTATTCTATACTGCATACCAGCAATGCTACAGAACCCTTCGTGATGCGTAGATCGAGTTTGATTAACATACACGCCTTTAAATAAAAGTTTATTTTAATAAATTATAAGCACATGCAAAGATAGATAAGAAACTAATACAATATAAGTATAATACCAGTAATAGTAACATCTGTATCTTGATTTACAATAACAAGCTTATTAGATGGCTTTAAGACATCATCCTGTTCAGTGTTTTGCCTTGACTTTCGCTTCTCAACATCGGAATCATTTTGTTTCCGTTTTCTAATCATTTCCATCTCTGAATCACTAGAAGTATCAGAGCTACTACTGCAACGATTTTTCTCATCTGAGTAAGAAGCAGCCAAAATTGCTGCAGCATTTAGACTTGCCATTCTCTTACAAACCACCATATCTTTGAAATCCATTACTTCTTCATTTCTCTTTCTGCGTTTAATTGTTTTTTTCTTGGTATATTCAATATTTTTTTCTTGTTCACAATCATCATCGGAAGAGGATGACGACGAAGAACTCTCTATCATGTCCCAATGCTTGCCGCGTAATCCTGGAACATTTCTGAGTTTCCTTTTTGGAACATTTTCTTCTCCTTTACTTTCTATTTTCTTTTCTTTTTCCTTACGAACAGGTTCTTCTTTTTCTTCTTTAGCTTTTTTCTGTTTCTCTTTCTCAGGTTTTGGTTTACAGAAACCTCCAAGATAAACACCACCAGTTTCATTCTCATATAAACAATGCACTTTAGCCAATGCATTTAAAGAAGCCACTCTATGTCGTTTTGGTCCACTCCAGAAGCCAAATAATCTCATTCGTCGAACGCGTTCATCGGATGGTGAACTAGCTCTTTCTTTTTTCTTTATATCCTTTTGTTTGTTTCTCTTTATCTCATCACTACTTTCGTTTTCTGAATCTGATGACAAAGCATTACCACTTGAATTTTCGCTATTAATTGCTTCTTCTTTTAGATTAGTGTCAGTTACATTCTCACTATCAATCTGTTCTTGTTTGGAAGAAACACTATCGCTTGGACTATCTTCACAAACTTTGATCTGTTTAATGGATTCCTCGGAAGATGTTTCTTCGGAAGAAGAAAGTATTTGATTAGTGCTCTCTCCTTGTGCTTTTATAACTTTCTTTTTTATTACCTTTTTAGCAATTTTTGAATTACTTTTCACAGATTTTTTAATATCTGGTGATTTTGACTGTAATAGTTCTTCTTTATTACTTTTATCTAGATCCTTAATTTCTTCTGCTTCACTTTTTATATCATTCATTTCAGCTTCCTCGTTCAAGTCATCTTTACTTATAATCTTTTTCTGTTCATATAGTGGTTTTTCTGTTTCTTTTACATCCATTTTCTTTTTAGGTATAACTTTCTCTACCAATGTTTTAAGCTTGTCATCTTTCTTTAATGCACTGCTTATTTTACTATTTTTTGAAGACAACTTAGCTTTCATATGTTTTCTTAACTTTGGCTTTTTCTCTTGCATGGTTTTATTTTTAGAAATATTAACACTTTTCTTTTTTGTCTTTTTCATTGCTTCATCTTCACTGACTGATGTTTCTTCATCTTTCACTATTTTGTTTAATTTCATTTTTTTATCCACGAATTTTTGAACTACAGATATATGTGACTTTTTCGTTAAGATGGTTTTTCTAGAAATGCCCTTTTTTTGCAGCGATTTTGTTTTACTACTCTTTTTTGTTCTTGTTAGCGAACCTTTACTATTTATTGTACCCTTTTCAAGGAGCTTCTTACGTTCCGACTTTTTATCTTTTATCACAGAAATCTTTACATTTTCCTTGAAATCTGACTTAACTGGTTTTCCATCCTTCTTTTTGTCATCTTTGCATTTCTTCTTAGGAATGGAACAAAGAATATCCAACTTTTCCTCATGAAAATTATTCTCCTCTGGAATACTTTGGAGTTTCGTTTGATCCTCCATATTCTCATCTTCGAGTTTTCCACTTTTTTTCTTATCTTCCACTTTTTCCACCTTTTTCTTATTTTCTATTATCTGCTTCTCCACTTTTGTTTTCTCCTCTATTTTTTGTACTTTCTTCTTCTCTGTTATTTCATGAGTACATTCGTCAATGACTTTTTCATCCGCTTTGTCTAATTTCCTCTCTTCCACTTTGTCAAACTTCCTTTCTGGATCTTTAACACACTTCTTTTTCTCGTCCATTTTTTCTGACTTCTCTTTCCGTTTCTCTTCAATTTTCTTCTTATCTTCTATCTTCTTCTTCTCCTCAGCCTTCTCAGATTTTTTCTTATCGTTCTCCATCTTTCTTTTTGTATCATCTATCATTTCAGGCTTCTTAGGCTTTTTCTCTTTCCTCACATCGGATACTGCTTTCTCTAAAAATGCGCGACGTTTTTTAGCAATTGTTGGCACTTTGGTTGCCTTCCTGGCAACCATCGCCTTTTTTTGTGTTTTCATTGTGACTGTTTTCTTTACATTTTCAGCTTGACAAAAATATGCTCAAAGTTGACAAAAGTCCTGAGCAAACAATTAAGACTACCTAACTGCCATTGTAGAGCTTAATGAAATATTGTAACTTCCACCAAAGCTGATTGTATCTGCAAATAATACAAGGAAATATAATATTATAAAACATCTGTGATAATAAAATCATATACTGTATGTAAATATAAAATGGACTACTTTTGTAACCTACTTTTCAAAGTAACATTTTTGTCACATTAATAACAAAAAATCAATATTCGAAATATGCGAAATATTTTTATAACGTCAGAATAATTAGATTCACTCTCGTTTTGTTTTGTGAAAATACCAAAAGAATGACTAATTGGTATTGATATTTTCTGGGAACAAAATACTCTTATCGCTCGAAGTACTAGTAAAATCAAAAAAATCTACGTTCTATTATGATAAATAAAATATACGAAGTCTACAAAAACGAATAAATAAAATATAATTTCGATCGAGAGAGTTGGATGCGCGCACTTTCATCGACTTGTTGACAAATCGATCCCTTTAAATCTCACTGTTCACATCGTTTAACATACATTAGAGAAATTTGATGTTCGAGATATCCGTTTATGTTTCCTTTATATTTCGATGGAAAAGATTACTTCATTTTCACACAAAAACATAGTATTCGTGTTGTAAGCAGAGAAATTAAAAGGACAAGGACACCAGGATACCTTTTAAATGTATCCGTAGATGGCCACAAGTGGCTAACATAAACTAAGTCTACTGATCGATGAATTTGTCACGTACGAATTTCTACCAGGCTCGTACTCTATTACGAAAGCCACAAACAATATATTCTCACAAAAATATTTTCTGTATTTGAAACACAAATATAATCGAAAAATAAACCGAAAATATATAATGATATATAATTTATGTTTACCTCTAGCGAGCCCTTTTGTTCCTACACACGGCCCGCGAACGCTTTTTTAAACGATAAATTAATACACCAATGCAGTTGACTAGTCTGATGACTTTTCACTCAAACGCGTCACTAGGGAGGACAATAACACGATTACTTTCCAAATACTTTCCGTCCGAGTACGCGAAGCTTAACACGGACTTCGCATTTCTTTCGCCCAAAACACGTATCTCACTCGACGTCCCTGCCCTTTTACCGTTGCCTTGTCGGCCATTTTCTTCCTCGCGCCGCCCCCCCACTCTTCCTCTCATCTATCCAAATAGCAAGTATTCTCCATCGTTTTCTCAAAGATATCCGCTAGATGGACTTACTCCTCTGCCGCCAGAAGAAGAAAAACGTTATTTATAATTTACCAAAAATAGAAAATAATATTTAGAAACTAAAATAAGTATGTTTAGAAAAATTACAATTAAAAGAATACATAAGTTAACATACAGAAATAAAGTCTTAATGATTTGATAAATTATCTACAATGTAAATTATTTAATAAGATGTAAATATAATTTTAGTTTATTAAACATTTGTTTTTTAAACACTCTAATTATTTGGAAGATATTTAGTGTAAACATGTAACTGTAACACAAATGCAAATACGATGATAACATTATCATACAATATTGATAAAGCATTTTATTAACAATACTACAAAAATATATATCCACGGAATGTTTTTAATAGACAATAACATCATTCTTTTCGTTATCTTTCATAGCTAATTACATATATTGGGGAAATCCAAATAACATTGCTTGCACTATGTCTCCTGGATGTAATTCGGGTTTTTCCATAGTACGTGCTGGTAATATTAATAGTGCATTCGCTTTTTTACAATTAAGTAATTTGCTACTTATTTGATTTCCAGTACTATAAGCATAAGGTAAATTATCTGTTTTTTCCCATTTTATAATTGCTCTAGCATATTCAGGGCGAGGATCCAAAATATAAGATGATGTCAACTGCAACGAATATATATGATAAATATTGTATAACTTAACCACTTCTAATGAATAAAAGTATTACATACTTTGGTTTCTAAAATAGTAGGTATGGAACTATCTTTACACAACAGCTTCAATACGGGTAATGCAAATAAATGCATAGTAACAGTTGCAGATACTGGATTACCCGGTAAACACAAAAAATATTTTTTTCTGCCTTCAAATAAGCATGTAGCAAAAGTTGTTGGTTTACCAGGTTTCATGTTCACGCGCCCTGCACAGAAATTTATTAGTAGTTTGTTATTAAACTTACAATCACAATTGTATAATCTTTTTTTCTCATGTACCAAAATGTATTGTTGCATTAAAGTGATGTTGAAGAATAGGTTTTAACATATCCCTATCACCCATTGATACAGAACCTGTTGTAATAAGTACATCAACTTGGCTTAAAGCATGTTGAATCTTAGATACCATGATAGCCTCCCTATACAGTTAATAGTTTAAATTTGTACAACATATAATTATGTTCTATGTATTTTAAATTATTTATATTGTAAACTTACGCATCTTGCGCAATACCCATATCTACAGGATCAAAACCGTTTTCTTTCAATACTGATAATAATGTAATTTTATTACTATCATATACACGTCCTGGTCTTAAAACTGTTCCAGGACACTGTAACTCATCTCCAGTAGATAATACACCAACATTAGGAAACTCTGTAACTGATACTTCGTTATAACCACAAGCTGAGAGAAGACCTAATTCTACGGCTTCGAGTTTTGTTCCTCCCTTCAAAATCAACTCTCCTTTCTTAATATCACATCCAATGGGTCTTAAAGTACATTAAAACACATAATTACACACTGTGTTATTTTTAAATATTGCAACATAATGAAAAAAGTACCTGATATCTTGTCCATGTTTTATTTCAGTCATAATCTCAATTTCTTTTTCCTCTTTATTATCGAAAGTTCCTTTTATAAATTTAGTATCTTCTACTTGTATAACTGCTGTTGCATCTACAATAAGAAAATAAAATAAATATAAAAGTTTGCTAAAATCAACATTTAAAGAACTGTTTTTATGCAATATTATAGTAAATATTATTTTACCATCTGGAATTGGAGCACCTGTATTCACTCTCACACATGTTCCAGATTCAAGCTTAATTTCAGTGGCCTATAAATTCATAGATTTCAAACTTCATACTTGTACTAAAGTAATATTGATAGTAATCAACACAGTAAGAATAATATTACTCACAAGATCTCCAGCTTTAATTCCACTTAATACCTTTCTCTTGCCTTTCCCATCACTTGCTAACACTGCATAGCCATCTTTAATAGATGCTCTAAATGGTGGTAAATCATATTTAGAATATACATCACTATCCAATATTCTACCATATGCTTTTTCCATGTCTACTGTTAATGTTAATTTTAATGGATCTGTGTTTTTATATATAATTTTTAAAGCTTCTTCCATAGAAATCATTGGATACGGTGACTCTCTATGGCGTTCAACCACATTTCCTAAACACAACTATCAAAATTTGTTTACTTGAACCTTGTGCATATAGAAATTAAAATTACCCTTAGTATGGAAAATTAATCTTACTGATGTCTTATCTTGACATTTGTGTGAACAAATTGCAGAACTATTTTGTACACTTTCATGTGTATCCTTTATTTTTTTCCTGTTATCTCTCAGTAAATCAACTGCATGTGGTATAGCAGGTGCAATGACACCTAAGCATTCCTTAGCAGCCTTTGGTGATCCGGGTAAATTGATAATTAATGTCTTATCTCGTATTCCACATGTAGCTCTTAACAATATGTAATAGAAAATAGTTGACAATAAAATACAATTTTTATCTGACATATAATATTTAATAGAAAATACCTAGACAACATAGCCATTGGAGTAATTTTTAAACTGGCTGTTAACATTGCTATAGCAATGCCAGGTGCTTCTTTTTGAATAATCTGTTTTGTTGCTTCAGGGGTAACATCTCTTTTAGAAAATCCAGTGCCACCAATTGTTAAAATAACATCTACTTGTTTACTATCACTCCAAGATATTAAATTTTCCTATGTGATAAATGTGAAAAAACATTGATTCCTGATAGATCTTATTAAAAATTATTATAAATGAATATGAATCTAATATTTCTAATTAGCTAAATTTAAATAAAATATCTACCTTTATTGCATACTCATCATCTGGGATAAGCTTTTTAAACCATACTTCTCCTTTAAAAATTTTTCCAATTTCAGAATTATTATTTTTAATACAATCCTCTATTTCAGGTCCACTTTTATCTTCATTTTTCTGCATAGAACAGCTGTCGCTAACTATTGAAGAATGTTATGTAATATTTTCATTAAAAATAATTAATAAATTATGTTAAGTAAAATAAAATAAATCATTTAATACACTACATTACTTAATAATATTAAAGTACAAGTAATAAGAAAATTAACAATTAATTTTTAATTACAGCATTGCAAGATAGGAGAACTTACTCGTCAATATTCCAAATCTTATAGAATTCATAATTTTATATAATTATTTTAATATTCGTACCATTAATTTTAAAGTGGATAATATAAAAATTCTGAAATAGACGTAAATTATATTTAATAATAATTTCAAACTATATAATATAATAAATATTCTTAAAATATAAATTTAAAGAAATTAGATTTAATGATAAATTAACACCGTGCATATGAACTTGTTGATATGAACTATACGTGTCTCTTTTTAAAGAGGAATCACAAGATTGTATTTTTCATTGTTACCAACTGTACAAGTTTTTTCATGTTAATAAAATTTACATTCTACATTACGTATTTTTTTATTACATTATAAATGTTTAAATAAAGAATATAAAATTTTTCAATTATTTGAGAATTATAATGGAAAAAAAAATATGTATACTATATACATTTACATTTCAAAGTACTTACCTAAAGTATTAAATAAAATATATATACGTATGTAGTATAAAATAAAATGTATGTAATTTTAAAATGTCTTTTTTGTTTAACAAAATGTTGTTATAGTATATATTGAAATTAGAAGCAACTTTGCTTCTGTTTACGTAGTAGTTACGCATGTGCAGAAGAAAGGAATTTTCTAATCCTTCTTTTGTGCAGCGCCATTCGTATAGTATATTTAGTATAGTGAGCATACAAGTCGTATAACGTGCATGTTAACGCACGCGTGGGTACCATAAGTTTCGGTGCAACTGTTTAACGCTTCATAGTTCAGTTCAGCTAAGAAGTTGGTAACTTGGTTGTGCAGTGCAATTCTGAACATAAGAGAGGGAGTTAAAAGCGGAGGAGTCAAGTGTTACGTACGAAGTCGCAGCAGCGGCAGTATAACGAGAGGTGTGTTACAATTCAAACATTCGAAAATTTAGAAGCGTGCATCAGTCCATGAAGTTTCTTCAACAATAAAATTCACTTGCAAAATATACATCGCAGGAATTCCTTTCAAGTGAGGTAACATAATTACTAGTCAGTTTACGTATCTTTGTAATTAACATATTAAAAATTGTACACTATTAATAGCAATTAAGTAAATTATTTTGGCCTACTTACGCGTAAAAATCCAAGATGGGAGGCTCGACCACACATACCCTTTGACTCAACCAATCAGCGTTCACGTTCCAACTCCTAAGGCTAATAACCTTTGACTTCCATTTTATTTATACGAAAGCAGTCTAGTGTGACTGAATGTTTTTTTTTACTGAAGAATATAAATATATTGTATTTTAGTAACGGGAAAATGTAAAGTGTTACGCTTCGTGCTTTATGCTTTATTATTTAATGTTTTAAATTAAAAATATTAATGTAACAACAACGTATATTCAGTAATTAATAATTAAAAATTAATTACATTATTCCTAAATTGAAAATATACAATTTAAAATTATTTGAAATTAAGGTTTCGTATGTTCTAATAAGTGAATTAAAAATTTATTTATATGAACGGTGGTGGATATTTGCAGATGCCATATGGAACCTCATGCAATAATAAATATATACGTAAAATCTTTCCAAAATTTTAAGTTGCCGTTTGCATTATAGTTGTACTTTTACCTGTAAATAAATTGAAGAAATTAAGGATATTGGTAACTGCGTGGATTGTTTTTCGTATTTTTACTTGTGTTACCTGTTCCAAAATTCAGAATTTTTAATTTATTGGTATACATAAGTGTGAAATGTTTCATTGTTTTCTAAGCATATAATTTTTAAATTATCAAACGTTTATTTACGTTTATTTAATAAATTTACATTGTTTTGAGTTTTAATAAGGAGACGTGGGTATATGATAAATGTTACATTTTGTAATAAAAATAAATATAAACAACGTTTAAAGCAAACAAGTTGTACAGGATAGTTCTCACTATATCCTGGTTTACTGTATCGAAAACAAAGAACTTCTAACCTGTACTTCATGTCTTCCTTCGTCTTACGATGTTTCTTTCAAACGATTTCAAACGTTTTTATATTCATATGTTATATTTACATCTACAATTATTTATATTTAAATTCAAATTATACTTAAAAAGAAGAAATATTTGTCATAGTATTGTTTCATTTTTATACTGTTGTTCCTTTTACTTTCATTTTCAGATTTGGCTTAAATATTATTATACTGTATTTAACGATAATTACCACATATTATTTTTTACTGCTGATTAAACATTTCCTAATCAAAAGCGAAAGGCATTATATTTTCTAACACGGCCAAACTTTCTGTAAGATTTCCCAACGTATGATTAATGACTAGAAACTTTGAACAGAATTAGAGAAATCTTTTGTATTTTTAATTTCAACTACATACATATGACTTACTCAATAAATTTTGTAGTTTAAGTTTATTAAGTTTACATTGCATACAATTTTAAATAAAATCATATATCTTTCTTAAATAAATTGTTAATATTATTGGAATAGTAATTTATTAAGCATTTATTAACAAGCTTATTAAAAAATATTAATAATATGACATTTCGAATGTTCATTAACGTTTAATACCCTTCACCTAGATTTTATTGCTTTTGGCTACCGGTTGCTAGCAACAGGTAAGCCGACGCACACAGTCATATGTTCACACGCGTTGCATCTCATTCAGTTTCCTTTTCAAATAATTCGAGCGTCGTTAGTAAGTACGTTGGCACGAAATAATTATATAGATGGTTCTTTACCAAATTTAAGTTCAATTCTAGCTGCATAATACATATACAGTATAAAAAAGGAACACCATTAAAGGATTTCGTTCTCAAGCTTAAACAATGAATTAAATTTTACAAATAAGTGTTTCAAGTATTGTTCACTCACTTGTTCAAGCAAAAATATTATTTGATTCGTACAATGAAAAGTTTCAATTTTGTTTCATAGATTGTACTCAATCGGTTCATTAATTGTTGTGCGATTGTTTATCTAAGTATTAGTAAATTTGTTCACTTCTGTTCTGTTAAGTACATATGACTGTATGTGCATTCTTATTTATAAATAAGTCTTGGTTAAATAAGGTCATCTAAATGTCTGTTTTATTTATTGTTGACAGAATTTGTAACATCATAATTCCTTTACGTTGAGAGACATATGTAATACGTTTCTTCAATGTATCTCTTTTTTATAATCTGTTTACAATTCTTTGACTTTAATAATATCGTCTGAATCATATAACGTCGAAATATTTGTCTTCGAAAATAATCGAAATTTTCTAAAGACTAGCACAACACGTAGCTTTAACTTCGCTTGAAATTTTTTGTTAATCTACTTCAAGTTATTCCGCGATACACTATCTTACATTCGTTTTTACAAGTAAAATGTTTTTAGTAGATGATTCATGTTTTTTACAATATTGTTGTAGATTATCTACTACAAATTGTATTTTTATCAGTAAATAATGTTTACTTTACTATGTCACGGTCGAGACACGTTTGCGTCATTGACTTTTACCCTTTGCAAGTTACGATCGTTGATTGTTATCGAAAACATTCTAATGCGCAATTCACAAAAATTTACCAGTGAAACAGAAATTTGTTTAGTATTAATAATATCGCAATGAGAACATGATCAATCAACTAACAAATTTTTCTTCGTGAAAACGAGTCGAAATATTAGTCGAATATTAACATATAAATGCACATCAAGTTAATGTTGTACTTTTGATAAAGGAAAGGCAATTGTATGATTTCGATCTTAACAAGTATTTGCAAGATAATAATATGTAGTTTACTAAATATTTTCTATAATGTAATAAGCTGTATATTAGATCACTGTTCTTTCTTGAGTTTATACAACTTGTTCAAAATAATTATTATCAAGACTTTACTTAGTTTATTACATTTTATTGTAATATTAAGTTTTTGTTACAGTATTATGTTCATTTTGCGAAAAAAGAAGAAAGACGATTTTACGATTTTACAATTATGAAACAAATTATAATAATCCAATAGTGTGATTTCTTTTTAAGAACATTTTTTTTATTTGATTCTAATTTTCGTTTTATCTGATACGAGGCATCAACAAATATTTGTTACGATTATTTCTGTTTTGATTATTGTTTGTGATTGAATAAGTTTATTTTTTATAAATAGGTCATTGAACCGATAACAAAATAAAGAGGATCAGAGGCGTGGTTGTTACGTATTAATATATATACGAGACCTAATATCTTATCGCATGTACTACGTAGCAGATATCATTTGATTTTGATTAAACAAACGTTACGTTTCTATTATCAGTATACGACGTAGATGGGTTAAATCGTAATAAACAGTATCTCATGATAATAGGTGTCAAATTTAGTTCCCTAAACTTGCTTTTTGTAAATAAGATAAAAAATGTAATCACTACGAACTGTTTACTCTGAAGATATTGGCAGAATCATATAATTGTTCTTGATGTTTAGGGTATTGGTTAAAATTTAATGTTAATTTGACCATAATTTAATTATTAATTGTTTTATAACTATATATTTTATTATCATTATAAACAGTATGATATGGTTAATTTACAGATACTTTCACGAACAAAAATATTTAGAGGTATTATTTTTTTCATAATACTAGTTATTTGTTTTTTACAGTTATATTAAATAATATTTCAAACAAATGCATATCATTTATCTGGTATTTTAATGAATTATCTATGAAAACCGATAGCAGGGCAGACATCTCTTGTATCAAGTGGGCAGACTTAGATATCCATGACATAATAACAAACATGTTTGTTTTCGTTCTATTTTCCGTTTAGGACCTACAGATCATAAGAAGATGAAATATACATCTATAGAGCATACTATAAGGCTGTATAATATTACATTTTCAGGATCGTTTTGTTTTTTAAGTACACAATAATCACAAATAAATACAATTACTTATAAAAATTTTCAAACCTGCAAAGAAACTTGTTTTATCAAATATATATCCTATGTTATAACGAGAATTTCCTTATTAACTCTTCGTTTATCATGTCATTATTTTGCCATACAGTTAGAAAATGTCCAATAATTAATTAACGAAAATAAATTCAAAATGAAGAAGGATATAAATTCGTAAAATTATTATTAAATTACATAAAAAGCGAAATCTGTACGTGAAATAGTGAAAATCAAAAGAAAGAAACATTCCACTGTCTAGTACATAATAAAAAAGTTCAAAGCGGGTAATAACGAAAACAAATCACGTGAAGGTCGTTCTATACTCTTAACTAATACGGATATGACCTAATATAAGATCTGTGCTGCAAATAATACGTCAGAATCCGAAAATAAATGCTCCAAATATCATCTTCCAAGTAGAAAACAATTTAGGAGAGATAGGAAATCCTGGAAATATTTTGAAAACATCTTATTAATCGTACAAAGAGAATTGAACTTATAAAAAACCATGAAGAATATTGATTGTTAAAATTTTGAGAAAGAGTCTTATGCTAGGGTAAAAATTATTTGAAGAATGATCTGACAAAGTAGCAGTTGGAAAACAAAATAGAAACTTTTAACAACATCAAAATTTCAATTGTATACCTTGCGTAATTTGAAAATCACTACTATATTATGCTTCTAATCAACTTTTCTTCGTAAAATCTCTAAAACGTAGCAAATTCAGCATGTAAAATGTATCTTATACTATTACGTAATGAATAAAAATTGTAATCTATATTGAAATGAATTCATAATCTATATTCAAGTGACTGAAAATTAGAAAGGTTAATCAACATCACGAATAGCGAAAAGCGGATCGTCGACTTACCGGTATTATTTTAATTTTTGACGATACCAGTTGAACAACATCTAAAACCGTATTGTATATATTTAAAAAACTATAATTCTAGTATAAAACTTTAATTTTATTAAAAATTCTTTTTTAATGAAAAGAAGTTAGATAGTTAAATTAGTGTTTAGCATATCAGAGTTGAAGGTATTTCTACTTTAGCAAGTCAATTTGCTAAGTCTTATCAGTGAAATAAGAATATTATTAGAA